TCTCACATACACATACACAAATAAAAATCAACCTATTTTATATATCAAAACATTTTAATATAATATTGTCTATGAAAAGCTTTAAAGATGAACTACAACAATTTTCAAGGGATAGACATCAATATTACCTTTAACCCTGTGTTCTGAATTATGCATCACACAGGCAAAACTTCCCTAACTTAAAAGATTATGGTTGAAATGTCACAATTCTCTTAATGATTTCATCACCTTCTAAAAAAGATTATTCTTTTGGCTTAGTTTTCTGCTTCAGCTTCTATCCGTACAGCAAAAAACTGATGAAAGTGAGCATGGGCTTGGATAAAAATTGGTACATTTTTAGATGTTAAGATAGGAAATTTTATGTGTGATCAAGTTTAATAAAAATTTCTGACCTACTTCAGATCAATTCATATGATTGAGATTAGACTTTTGCCTTCTCCCTAAGAACTTGCAACAAGTATGGCAAAAACATCAGGTAAATAAGCAGCAGCTTTAATATAGTCTTAAATGTGTGTGTAGTCACAGGTTCACAAAATAGCACAGGCAAATAAAAAAGGTAAAATGGAAATATTAAGATGAAAATATTATTCAAAATTCAGTTCAGCAGTTTCTTAAAAAGATGAACACCAATTTGTCATATAACTCAGGAACTCCACTCATATATTTCTACCCCCTCAAAAAAGAAAATATATGTCCATATAAAAATTCGCATATAAGGGTTCATAGCAAGATTATTCATAATAGCCAAAGAGTGGAAGCAATCCCAATGTCCATCAACTGATAAATAAATAAGCAAAACTTGTATATCCATACAACAGAATACTATTTGGCAAGAAAAAGGAATGAAATACAGATAAATGCTATAACGTGGATGAGCTTCAAAAACTTCATGCTAGGTGAAAGAAGTCAGATGAAAAAGATCACGATGATTCCATTTTTATGAAGTGTTGAGAAAAGTAAAATCAGCTGGGTGCGGGCTCATTCCTGTAACACCAGCACTTTGGGAAGTTGAGGTGGAAGGACTGCTTGAGGCCAGGTGTTCAAAACCAGCCTGGGCAACAGAGCAAGACTCCATCTCTACAATTCAAAAAGAAAGAAAGAATAAAGAAAAGTAAAATCTATAGAGACAGAAAATGGATTTATGTTTTCCTGAGGCTGGAAATAGGAAGGATCTTTTTGTGGTGGTAAATATTCTAAAATTGGACCATGGTGCTGGTTGCAAAATTCTAGAAATATCACTTACCTGTACACTTAAAATGAGTGGATTTTATGGTATGTCAGTCTTAGCTCAACAGAACTACTTTTAAAATACATTCAGGCCAGGTGTGGTAGCTAATGCCTGTGAGTTTGAGACCAACCTAGGCAACATCGTGAGATCTCACCTCTACAAAAATCAAACAAATTAGCCAGGCATAGTGGCACATGCCTGTAGTCCCAGCTACTAGGGGGTCGGAGGTGGAAAGATAACCTAAGCTTAGGAGGTTGAGGCTGCAGTAAGCCATGATTGTGCCACTGCACTCCAGCCTGGGTGACAGAGTGATCCCAACTCAAACAAGGACTTGTTTAAAAGTGTTTTCAAGTCTAACCAAGAACTCTGATATTTAGAAATAGATAAGATGTGAATACTTAAAGTCATATTTTCTTTTCCATCTTTAAAAAAAAATACTAATTCGCTATCTAGATTATTATTTTTTTCTAATCTTTATCTTTTTCTTTTTTTCTTTTTTGTGAGTTGGAGTCTCACTCCGTCCATTGCCCAATGGCATACTCAAGGCCACCCAAGCATCGATCTGCTGGGCTCTGGTGATCCTTTCCACCTCAGCCTTCCAAGTAGCCGGAACTACAGGTGCACACTACCATGTATGGCTAATTTTTTTTTAATTGTAGAGATGAGGTCTCACCAAGTTTTCCAGGCTGGTTTCGAACCCCTGGGCTCAGGCAATCCTCTTGCCTCGGCCTCCCAAAGTGCTGGGATTAACAGGCTGAGCCACCAAGCCCGGCCTTCTTGACCTTTTTCTACAGAGGGTGCCAAAAGAATGTATACACATTTTAAGAAGAAAAAAAAACTGTATTCAGATTGTAATACTCAATATATACTGATAACAAAAGGTGAATACAAGTCACATTTGACTTCTGCAATTATAAGAGGTGCTCAAAGTGGTTACCATCTGCATCCAGAAACTTCTGATTACAGCGACCTACTGCAGGACTTGTTGCTGTGCGAGGCCTCCCGGATCTTCCCTTGTGCACATCACACACAGTACCACGCATCTCAAACTTATCATATATGCATGCAATTGTTAGGCGTGTTGGAAGTTCTGTGCATATTCATGCCTCCATTGTCATTGCACTTCCACAATGTTCTCAAATTTCAAATACCATTTCAAAATAGCCTTGCACTCCTCGAACAATAAGCGTGCTTCCTCAGTCATCTTTGGCTGTCCTGCCTGTTGCATGGTGATACTAGCATTCATTTGATTAACGCCATCTTTTGAACAAACACCATACTACACATTGCTATTGTAATTCAATTCAACTTTTTTTGGCACCCTCAGCAAATTATACTTAAACTTCAATCTGAAAGGGAATCAATACAATATGTACCTTTTTATGTCTGGTTTCTTTTACTCAACAGAATGTCTGTGAGACTCATCCAAGTTGATACTAATATCAGTAGTATATACTTTTTTATTATTGTGGAGTATTCCATTGTATGAATATACCACGATTTGTTTCTAAGTTCTCTTGTGAAAGGACATTTAGGTTGTTTTTAGTTGACAGTATTATAAACAATGTTGCTATGAACATTATTTTAGATGTCTGTTGGTAGACTTAGGCGTTCTTTTTCCTTAGAAACACAGCTAGGAGTAGAAGAGAAATAAATGTTTAACTTAGGTAAAAACTGCCACAACATTCTCCAAAGTGGTTAAACAAATTTACATTCCTACTAACAATGTCTAAAATGTCAAGCTGTCTCACCTCCTCAACAACAGTTGATATGTTCAATCTTTTTAATTTTAGTCATTTTGCTGAGTACATAGGGGTATCTTGGTATGGCTTTAATTTACAGGTCCTTGATTAAAAATGAGATCGAGCACACTTTTCATACATTTATGGACCCTTTAGATATCTTATCTGATGAAGTGCTTGTTCTAGATTTATGTTCATTTTTATAACAGGCTTCTGTCTTTTTCTTATTGCCTTATAGAAGTGCTTTATTCTGGACACAAATCTTCCCTCATACATACAACAAAACAAATAGTTCATCAAATATATGAATTACAGTGGACCTCAATCTGTGACTTGCCTTTTTTTCCTCTCTTAGTGGTGTTTAATATTCAGAAGTCTATAATTTTAATGAAGTATAATTTATCAATATTTTCTTTTATAGTTAGTGGGTTTTATATCCTGTTGGAGAATTCTTTACCTATCCCAAGATCATAAAGATATGCTCCTATGTTTCTCCTAGAAGTTTTTCTATAGTATTTTTCACATTTGAGTCTTTTAAATTAAGTTTTTCATATTTATGTTTTATTTACTTGGAGACAGGGTCTCAATATGTTGTCCAGGCATTTTTCAAACTTCTGGGATACTCCCACCTCAGCCTCCTGAGTAGCTGGGATTACAGGCATGTGCCACAATGCTCAGCAATCAAATTAATTTTTATATATGGAGCCAAGGTTTTTTTTTTCTCATACAGGTATTGACGCTGGGCTCAGTGGCTCAGCTTGTAATCCCAGCACTTTGGGAGGCTGGAGCGAGTGGATTGCCTGATTCTGCGGGTTCGAAACCAGCCCCAGTAACTTGGCAAGCCCTTGTCTCCACAATAAATCAAAAATTAGTGGGGTGTGGTGCATGCCTATAGTTCCAGCTACTTGGAAGGCTGAGGCAAAAGGATCGCTAGAGCCCAGCAGGTCAATGCTGGAGTGGCCGTGAGTGTGCCACGGCACTCCAGCCTGGGCAACAGAGTGAGACTCCAACTCAAAAAAAAAAAAAAAAGGTATTCACTTGATACAGCAGTGTTTATTGAGAAAACTAGTCTTTTTCACACTGAACTATATTGGCAAAGTGGTCAAAAATCAGGTGACCATATTGGACACATGTCTGTTTCTGGACTCTATTACATTCCATTGTTCTATTTTATCCTTGGGAAATGCCACTGACTTAATTACTGAACCATTATAGTAATCTTGAAGAAGGGAATATTTTAATGCACAATTTGTTTGAGCTGTTCTTGGAAGAGACAAATGCCAACAATTAACTAATTCAAGTCTTACATATCATCACACAAGGGGGCCCCACAAATTATTTTTTGGAGGGCAGGACCCTTGTAGCACAGGCTTCCTCCGTTAGGCAAGTGTTCTAGGAATCCATCAGCATCGGTGTACCAGTCAGCATCATCGTGAGAGACTGCCTGTGGCTTCAGTGACTTTTTATGGAGATTCTTTCAACGCATTAGCCCATTTCATGATGGGTGGTTTAGGAGCACACTTGCCCTCACCAAACTAATTGTTCAGCAGTTTTTGACCAAAAACAGCATGATCACCATGCCCCACCATCCCTATTCACCCTATCTCACCAGTGAATACTTCTCCCTCCCCCCCAGTTACTTTTTTTTGTTTCTTCAGATGAAAAAAGGCCACAAAGGGAAAGGTTTTGCCAATGTCAAGAGGTGAAACAAAAAATGGCAGAAGGCACTCAAAGGCATCAAAATTGATGAGTTCAAAAACTGTTTTGAGCAGTGAAAAAAAGCATCTCAATAGGAGTATTGCTTCACATGGAGAGTACTTTGAAGGTGACTGAAGTTTAAGCATGTAAGAATAAATACACAAGTTTTTATAATTACATTCCGGTATTTTGGGTCTCCCTCATATTTTGAAGAAAATAAATTCCTTAATCAGTAGAATGAAAACTTGAATATTTTTCACCACTTAAGACCTACAAAATCTACATAATCTCCTATGTTAACTGCAGAAATCTTTAGAATGAAAATGACTCACCTGAGTAAGGTAGATGGTATCTTTAAATACACGTAATGGATCTGTGTTTTGGGGGAGTTTGAAATGAAGTCTGACCTGTTGAAGCATTTCCTTGTTACCATCTGCATGATGTTGTCGATGTAGTGAAAAATTGCTATTGAAAGACCAGTCCTCTCTAGACGAGACCTTTGAATAAAGAATAAGAGCCACAAGTTGGAAAGTTGGCAGTAAAACTACTTTTCTATAAGTTCCTGACAAACCTGGAAAGTAGTCTCTATACTGGAAAAGAACTCGAGGTTTATTCTATGGTTCTAGTTTCATAAATGTTTTGTCACCCTACTTGTTATCGGTGAGACTAGTCTTGCGCAATGTTGAATCACAAAACCAAGATCCAGCACCTATATTTTCTCTTACTCGAACTAAGAAAGCTACATTTTTGTGTTTCTGTCAAAAATTTTGCATTATCGGCTGGGCTCAGTGGCTCAGCCTGTAATCCCAGAACTTTGGGAGGCTGAGGCTAGTGAATTGCCTGAGCCCGCAGGTTCGAGACCAGCCTGGGCAATTTGGCGAGACCTTGTCTCTACAAAAAAATAAAAAATAAAAAAATAGCTGAGCGTGGTAGCACGTGTCTGTAGTTCCAGTACTCGGAAGGCTGAGGTGGAAAAATCGTCAGAGCAGGTCGACGCTGGGGTGGCCGTGAGCGTGCGTGCCACTGCACTCCAGCCTGGGTGAAGGAGTGAGACTCCAACTCAAAAAAAAAAAAAGTTTTGCATTATCAAAACACACTCCTGAGTTTTGAAACATTCATTACGCTTATTTCACAATATTGTTTTATCTATTTAGGCAAATATCATCTTATCTATTATTAGTTTGTCAAAACTGAGTAAAAGGCCAGGCATGGTGGCCCATGCCTGTAATTTCAGCACTTTGGGAGGCCGATGCAGGAGGATTTCTTGAGTCCAGAAGTTCGAGGCCAGCCTGGGCAACAAAGTGAGACCCTGTCGCTACAATTGAAAAAAAAAATTCAAAAAATAGCCAGACATGGTGGTGTGTGTCTGTAGTCCCAGCTGATACAGGAGTATCACTTAAGCCCAAGAGTTGGAGGCTGCAGTGAGCCACGATCATTGTATTGCACTCCAGCCTGGGCCACAGAATGTTTCTGCCTCAAAAATAAAAACAAACAACAACAACAAAACTGAATAGTAGAATGTAATCAACACTTTACTGGAACTGTCACAATTCTTAAATAGAAATAAAAGCACCACTACTATGACAGTAAATGCTTTAGAGCTTATTCATACTACTCATTTGTTTTTCAGCAAGTATTTAACATAACGGATATACACATGGTTAATTTTGATACAGTCGAAGACACAAACCAAATAATGATACTCCTCTCCCCTAAGAATCAATCTTTTTTAAAGCCAGGCACAATTTACAGGGGTTTTATTTAATTCTTTTAATCCTAACTTATAGAATATTTCTTTTATCATCAGCTCAAAGTAAAAAACAAACTAAAAGAACTCATACACCTTGGAGTGTACTTTTTACAGAAAGGAAAAAAGCAGTAATTCTTGCTTCTAGCCTAGAATTTAATGCACTGTTAGTATTTGCGAAAGATACAAGACAATTGCCAGCTACATCTGAAAATATCCAGAGTTTTAATCCAAGTTACACAGAAACTTTGAAAAAATATACTCTGCCCCCCAACCCCAAAATATGAAAATTAAAAATCTTACTCCCCATTTATAAATATGACATATACCCAGTAATCAAGCAAGTCTCAGGTCAGTTTAGTTACTGTAAAAGGAAAAAGTTAATCTTTGGAAATTGATTCATTCCAAAATATAAGAAATGTACATTAGCCATATTACATTTGGAAGTTTATTCAAATTATGTTGTGGCAAACTGCTACCACCAGAATCACTTAAGAACACTAAATACTTCTATTATCTATTTAAAAGAGGTATTCGCATTTACTGTCATATTCACGTTAGATGCACATACTTTTCCCAATAGTGTTCTCTTCTATGTTTCCTCCTTTTTATTTATTTACTTTCATTATTTTTAATTGACATGATAACTGTACATATTTATGGGGTACTGGGTGATATTTCAATACATGTCTAAACAGTAATGATCAAATCAGGGTAATTACCATATCCACCCCCTCAAACATTTATCATCTCTTTGTGTTGGGAACATTCAAAATCCTCTCTTAGTTATTTAAATACACAATAAAATGTTAACTATATTAACTAGCTATTTAAATATACAATATTACTAGCAATTTAACTATATAATTAGTTATTTAAATATACAGTAAATAACTAGCTACTGAAATATACAATAAAAAACTAGCTATTTAAATTACAATAAAATATCCACTATAGTCACCATACAGTGCTATAGAACACTGGAATTTATTCCTCCCATCTTGCTGTAATTTTGTAGCCACTAATCAACCTCTCCCTATAACTGCTTGCTCCACCCTTCCCAGCCACTAGTAATTTTACTCTCTACTCTTTACTTCTGACATTTTTAGCTTTCACAGATGAGAGTGCTTCCTCTTTTTAAAAATCTGAACACCTTTGGGCTTCTTGGCCCTCTGACTGGTAATGACTGGAATCTATCACATAATCAGCAAACCTGATCTTTAGTTACCATCTTATTACTATGATTTGAAAGTCTTTTAAATTTCTACTATGACTGAACGTGGTGGCTTTGGGAGGCCAAGGCAAGAGGGTTGCCTGAGCTCATGGGTTCAAGACCAGCCTGGGCAACTTGGCGAGCCCTCATCTCTACAATAAATCAAAAAATTAGCTGGGTGTGGTGGCACATGCCTATAGTTTCAGCTACTTAGAAGGCTGAGGTGGAAGGATCACAGGAGCCCAGCAGGGTCGAGGCTGCGGTGGCCATGAGCTTGCCACTGCACTCCAGCCTGGGCGGTGGAGTGAGACTCAAAAAAAAAAAGAATATTAACTAATTTAATACCTCTAACAACCCTATGAACAGGTACTATTACCACTCTTTTTTTACAGATATGAAAACTAGGCATAGAAGGATTAAGTAACTTGTTCAATATCCAAGTTTAGTGTAATCTAGCTCCAGCCCTTAGTTCATTAAACTTAGAAGCATCTGAAAAAATTAAACTTTTATACAAATCATATGACTAGAACTGCCTATGTTAGTGGTAATAATAGTTGATGTTTTAAGGGCTCTCACTGTGTCAGAAACTCTGCTAAGTGTTTTACTGTATTAATTTAACCTTTACATGTGCACATATACCTGTGAGGTATTTACTACTATTAACCCCTATTTTCAGATGAGGAAATCAAAATTCAAAAAGATTAAATAATTTACCCAAGGTAATATAGCTAACGAGTGGCAGTTGTCACATTCAATTCAATTCTATTTATTCCAAAGCCTGCATTTTTAATCATTGTGCAATACTGATAATCACATATTGAAAATTTACATTGCTGTTTTACAAAAGAATAATGTATCCCAAATTAAAGAGAGACATTTTAAATAGACTTGTTGAATACATGAAAAAGCTTCTAAATAAAAGAGTCAATGTTTTATGTCAAGTTATTCTTTGGGTTTCTTTTATTTTCCCAATTACCGATGCAAATTCTCAACTAAGCAGTGCAGCTTGAAAAGAGATGATTAAATCAAGCAATAAGGCCAGGCTCGGTGGCTCAGCCTGTAATCCCAGTGCTTTGGGAGGCAGTGGTGAGTGGATTGCCTGAGCCCACATGTTGGAGATCCACCTGGGCAATTGGCAAGACCTCATCTCTATAACAAATCAAAAATTAGCCGGGCATGGTAGCACACGCCTGTAGTTCCAGCTACTTGGAAGGCTGAGGCGGAAGGTTCACCGGAGCCCAGCAGGTCGAGGCTGCGGTGGCTGGGAGTGGCCATTGCACTCCAGTCTGGGTGACAGAATGAGACTCAAACTCAAAAAAAAAAAAAAAATAGTGTTTCCTTCTTCTACACTGTTGGTGGGAGTGTAAACTAATACAGCCTCTGTGGAAAACAGTTTGACAATTCCTAAAATATCTAAAAATCGACCTTTCATATGACCCCACAATCTCCCTACTGGGAATATACCCAAAAAAAGTGAAAAAGATACCTGCACACACATGTTAATTGCAGCATTATTCACAGTAGCAAAAATATGGAACCAACCATGCTGCCCATCAAAAGAGGATTGGATTAAAAAATGTGAAAAAAAATAAAACAAAATAAAGCAAAACAAAAAGAAGTATATACACATGATGGAATATTATGCAGCCATAAAAAAGGACAAAATTATGAACTTCACAGCAAGTTGGATGGACTTAGCGTCTATAATACTGAGTGATCTATCACAGAAACAAAGAACTGAGTAACACATGTTCTCACTCATAAGTGGACCTTGAACAATGACCATAATGGTGTAAGAAAGGGACTGGCAGTAGTGGGAAACTGCCAGGGGAGGAGGGGGGATGGGATTGGCAGTAGTGGGAAATTGCCAGGGGAGGGGGCACACCTCATCAACATGGGTACCTGCGTAATGAACCTTTGTATATCTAACACTAAATTGTACCCCACATCTTTAAAATTAAAATTTTTTTAAAAACTAAAATATAGTGTTTTGTACCTCAGAACATCATCAGGCATTTCATAAAACAAGGTAATTCCACTAGTTTAAGAAGATGAGGCCGGGTTCGGTGGCTCAGCCTGTAATTCCAGCATTTTGGGAGGCCCGAGACCAAAGCAATGGATTGTCTGAGCCCATGGGTTTGAGACCAGCGTGGGCAACTTGGCAAGACCTCATCTCTACAATAAAAATAAAAAATAGCCGGGCATGGTAGTGCGTGTCTGTATTTTCGGCTACTTGGAAGGCTGAGGCGGAAGGATCGCCGGAGCCCAGCAGGTCAATGCTGGGGTGGCTGTGAGCGTGCGTACCACTGCATTCCAACCTGGGTGAAGGAGTGAGACTCCAACTCAAAAAACAAAACAAAAAACAAACAAAAAACAAAAAAAGATGAATAGCAAAGCTTACAGATTTAAGAAAAGGTTTAACAATTTCTAACACTAACCTTTCAAAAGTGTAATGCAAAGAAAATCTATCAGCTCTGGAGTCACACAGTAGTTTGAATACAGATATGCTACTTATTACCTGGGGGACATGGATATTACTCCTGCCCTGCAGTGCTTCGGTTTCTTCCTGGGCCTCAAGTCAAAGTGGAAGGGGTGGATTATTGCTAAATAAAAGAATAGGCATGGCTGGGTGCTGTGGCTCACACCTGTAATCTCAGCACTTTGGGAGGCTGAGGTGAGAGGATTCCCTGAGCCCAAGGGTTCGAGATCAGCCTGGGCAACTTGGCGAGACCTCATCTCTACAATAAATAAAAAAATTAGCTGGGCATGGTGGCGTGTAACTGTAGTTCCAGCTACCTGGAAGGCTGAGGTGGAGGGATCGCCTGAGCCCAGCAGGTCAAGGCTGCGGTGGCTGGGAGTAGCCACTGCACTCCAGTCTGGGGGACAGAGTGAAACTCTGACTCAAAAAATAAAAGAACAGGTACTTGGCACAGGCACAGAGCAATGGCTCAGTAAATATTCTTGCTTCCTTAATTCTTTCCTCCTCATTCTCAACACATGTTCCTACCTGAGTCAGGATACTGAACTTCATTCTTCATTTTGAAACAGTAGTAAAAGAATACTATTGGGAGCAATAAAAAAAAAAGTGATATGGACACTCCACCATATATATATGTTTCAAATATCATGTTGTACATGATAAATATACACAATTTTATTTATCAGTTAAATTTTTTAAAAATTAAAATTTAAAAAACAAAGGGTAAACCAAGGGTATGACATTATTTATTATTTTATTTATTTATTTTTTTGATTTAGAGTCTCACTCTGTTGCCCAGGCTGGAGTGCAGTGGCATGCTCACAGACACCACAGCCTCAACCTGCTGGATTCAGGAAATCCTTCCATCTCAGCCTTCCAAGTAGCTGGAATGACAGGTGTGTGCCACCATGCCTGGCTAACATTTTTTGTGTATTGTAGAGACAAGGTCTCACCAAGTTGTCTGGGCTGATCTCGAAACTCTGGGCTCAGGCAATCCTCTCATCTCTGCCTCCCAAAGTGCTGGAATTACAAGTGTGAGCCACTGCATCCGGCAACATCATTATTTATTAAAGTTAAAAGTATAATATAGCTTCAGTGTTGTGTAGAAGCAAATATAGTTGTGGTAGATAGTTTTGTGGAAGTGAATATAGATGGGGAAATTGAGGAAAATTTTGAAATTGTCTTAAGACAATTTTTGTGGTTACGTTACATAAGTTGGGGAGGAGAAAAATCACATATCAATAGATGAAGAAAAAACATTTGACAAAATCCAACATTCTTTCATGATATCAGCCCTTAACAAATTGTAAATAAAAGAGAACTTAACCTTATAAAGGGCATCTACAAAAAATAAATAATTACATTATACTAGTTGGTAAAAGACCAAAAGGTTTCTGTCTAAGAAAAATAACAAGTCAAGGATGTCACTTCTAACCACAGTTTGTCTACATTGTACTGAAGGTTCTAGGTAGGGTAGTTAGTCAAAAATAAATAAATAAATAAAAAATGACATTTGGAATTGGAAAGGCAGAAGTAAAACTATCTCTACTTACAGATGACCACTTTGCAGGAGACAAATTAAATATACAAAAATCTATTTTTTAATACATTTGCAATTAACATTCTAAAAATGAAATTAAGACCAGGTATGGAGGCCTATACCTGCAATCCCAACACTGTGAAAGACCAACACAGGAGGATCGCTTGAGGTCAGAAGTTTGGGGCTGCAGTGAGCCATGAGCAGCCTAAATTACAGAGCAAGACTTTGACTCTAAAAAAAATGAAAATTAAAAATAGAAATGAAATTAATAAAATAATTCCATTTACAATAGCACCCAAAAGAATCAGTTGGAAGCAAGTTAACCAAAGAAGTGTAAGACTTGTATACTGAAAATTACAAAAGAGTACTGAAAAATCTTTTTTTTTTTTTTTTAATTAGAGTCTCACTGTTGCCCAGGCTAGAGTACAGAGGCATTCTAATGGCCACCACAGCCTCAATCTGCTGTGCTCACGTGATCCTTCTGCCTCAGTCTTCTAAGTAGGTGAAACTACAGGCATGTGCCAACATGCCTGGCTAATTTTTTGATTTATTGTAGAGACAAGGTCTCTCCAAGTTGCCCAGGCTTAAACCCTGAGCTCAGGCAATCCTCTTGCCTCCACCTCCCAAAATGCTGGGATTACAAGCTTGAGCCACCATACCCGGCTGAAATAAATTTTTAAAAAGACATCCCATGTTCATGGATCAGAAGACTCAATTGTGTTAAGATGGCAATACTCACAAACTGATCTACAGATTCAAAACACTACCAAAATCCCAGTTAAGATTTTTTTTGCAAAAATTGGCAAGCTGACCCCATTTGGAAAGACAAGACATCCAGAATAGTCAAAACAATCTTGAAAAGGAGAACAATGTTGGTGAACTCACACTTCCTGATTTCAAAACTTACTACAAAGCTACAGAAATCAAGACAGTGCATAGTGGAATAAAATATACTACTGGTACAGAACTGAGAATTCAGAAATAAACTCTAACATTTTTTGTCAATTGATTGCCAGGGCCAAAAGAATTCAGTAGAGGAAAGAATCATGTTTTCAATAAATAGCATTGAAATAACTAGCTACCCACATGCAAACAAATAAACATGGACTCCTACCTCACACTATACATTAAAAATAACAAAATGAATCACAGACCTAAACATAAGAGCTACAAAATTCTTAGGCAATAACAGAGTAAATCTTTGTCATTTGTGGTTAGGCAATGATTTCTTAGACACCACACCAAAAGGTAAAAAAAAGAGATAAGAGGCCAGCCTCAGTAGCTCAGCCTGTAATCCCAGCACTTTGGGAGGCCGAGGCCTAGGTGAGTGGATTGCCTGGGCCCACAGGTTCGAGACCAGCCAAGGCAACTTGGTGAGACCTACAATAAATCAAACATTAGCCGGGCGTGGTAGCACATGCCTATATTTTGGCTACTTGGAAGGCTGAGGCAGAAGGATCACTGGAGCCCCAGGGTCCAGCCTGGGTGACAGAGTAAGACTCCAACTCAAAAAAAAAAAAAGAGTTAAGAGAAGAGATTGGTAAGTAAGACTTCATCAAAGCTAAATTTTATGTGTGTAATATAAATGACACCATCAAATGAGTAAACTGAAAATATTTGCAAATCATATGTCTGATAAAATTTTCAATCCAGAATATATTTAAAAACTCTTATAATTCAACAATAAAAAGACAACTCAATTTAAAAACAAGCAAAATATTTGAATAGACAGTTATCAAAGGAAGATACACAAGTGGCCAATAAGCACATAAAAAGATGCTCAACATGATTAGCCACCAAGGAAATACAAATTTCCTATTAATGTAAATTTCCAGGGAAATGTTAAAAAAAAGAAAATAATAAGTATTGATGTAGAGAAATCAGAACCCTTATATGCTGCTGGTAGATATGTAAAGTGATGCAGTCATTACAGACAACAACTTGACAGTGCCTCAGAATGTTAAACACGGAGGTGCCATATGATCCAGCATATTCACTCCTAGGTATATTCTCAGTAGAGGTGAACACATGTTCACACAAAAACATGTACACAAATGTTCACAGCAGCACTTTTCATAATAGCTGAAAAGTGGAAATAACACAAATGTCCATCAACAGATAAATGGATAAACAAAACATGAGAAATGACATACTAATGCATGGATAAACTTTGAATGCATCACTCTAAGTCAAAGAAACCAGTCTCAAAAGACCACATATAATATGATTCCAATTATATGAAATGTGTAAAATAGGCAAATCTATAGACACAAAAAGTAGATTTGTGGTGTCTAGGGTTTGGGTAGCAGGGATAGGAGAGAATGAGGAGTGGCTGCTAATGGGTTTCTTTTGAATAATAAAAATGTTCGAAAATTATATTTTGGTGATGGCTGCACAATTCTGTGACTATATCGGAGACCATGGAATTGTACACATTAAATGAGCACATTGTATGGTAAGTGACTTATATCTCAATAAATCTACCTTTAAAAGAACACACACAACACTAAAATGGAATCTTTAGGAATGGAGAATGTGAAAATCCATACAGAAAATAAAACACACAACACGAAGAAAAAGGAGGAGGAGGAGAAGTAGATGGATGAAACAGAAGAGGAGGAGGAAGAGAAGCAACATAAGACAGGATAATATCAAGCGAAGGTTTATGTATCATATTCACATCTCTTACTGTGGTGAAATATCCAGTTCTGAATATCTGTAAATGATAAAACAGTTGTAGGATATACAGAAATTAGCAAGTGAGAATTATTTTTATATATGATAATAAGTCAGCCATAAGCAACCACTGACTCCCATTTAATTTTTAAATGCTCCTGAAGGAACATAATTAAAAGCCATATAGAAAAGTTATAATCTCCAAAACAATGATTATAAGAATTTAGCTCCACAAAGTAAAAAAGAAAAGTATTTTTCTTTCATTTTCTTCTCAAACTTTCATTTAAATAATTAGTAGATTTCATCTGATTCTCTGTTCAGAGGTAATAAATATATGTGCACAGCCTACCAATCTGAATCACTGAAAAATCATACAATGGCTTACCTTTTCTATTGTACTGAAGGAAGGCCAGGACTGATATCCATATTCAGATGCAAATCGAGCTTTTGGAAAAACTTTCCAGTCCCAGCAATCACTGATGTAGTTATAAAAATGTACATCACCAAAATAAGTGCTATACGGGTCTTTAGAGACCCAGCCTTCTGCGATGGTCTTAGCTCCATTTGTAGGACTGGATGTAATAAAAGGACGACTCCTGTCTCCCTGAGTTTAAAAATAAAATGCTTTAAAGGATAATATTTTCATCTTATAAAGTATAGACCATTCACTTCTTTAAAAATGCTAACAACTCTTAGAAATTCCAAGTAACTGGTAGAAAATTCCTTAAGACCATTTACCTTCTTTCCCATTCGACAACCACCAGCACCTCACTGCTCTTTACATCTTTTTATAATAAACAGTTACCTCATTCCTCACAGCAGCTGTTGCTAATCTTTGCAACCATGTTTTGCCTCCACTCTCATCCATCATGGATCGTGTATAATCTGGTCCAAAGTTTTTCAGCTTTGGTACTATTGACATTTTGGGCTAGATACATTTTTGGTGTGTGGAGGGGGTGGGGAGTCTTATGCACTGTAGATTATTTAGCAGCATCCCTGGTCTCTAACCACTAGGTAGATACCAGTAGTCCCTCATCCCTGAAAAAAAGCCTACAAACATTGCCAAATGTTTCCTGGGGGCAAAATCACCTCCACTTGAGAACTGCGGGCCTAGCAGGTAAGAATAGAGGAGTCAGATGGATCTTAAGTTTAAATGTCAAATCAGAACATTATTATTTTTGGACAGGTCTAAGCTCAGTAGTCTTCTGTAAAATGAGGATAATAACAGTATCTCCTTTACAAGGGTATTGTAAATAATAAATAACTCATATGTGGAAGAAATGGCTAAGTGTACAGCAAAATGGATGTTTCTATTTCCATAATATAGAACTGTCCCTTGGAAGTGTCTTCCTGGTCCCAAGTGAGGCTGTGTGCATCTATCTGTATGAGACCATGGGCTTCATCTCATCCCCTTTCCCTATCTGCAGGTGAGGGCCTAAGAAACGGTATAGTTAGAATACAAAGACGTCTATGTCCCTGAAAGAAGTGTCTGTGATCAGGAGCAGCTATTTTATAACATTAATGAATAAGAAATAAGCTCTTATTATGTAAACGACTGAAATACTGTGATTTACTTGTTACAGCAGCCAGCATGTAAGTATTAAATGTAGTGTCTAGCACACAGGTAGAACTCAAATGTTGTGGTTACTATAATCTCAATAGATGAGCTCACTTCCTATTTCACCGAGGAGATTCATTCATTTGGCAAGTATTTGTTAAGTGTTTATTTTGTTAAGTGGTATTTTTCAGCACTGCAAAGAGAAAGAGAGAGAATCTATGACTTCCTCAAGTACTCATACATCAAATCTCTTTGATTGTTTACTATGTGTCAGTCTTGTGGTTCTTTTTACGTACTGGAGGTTCAGCAGATGGCTTTGGCAATGAACCACTTAAAAGAGTAGACTGCAATTTAGTGGTGAAGCCAACACTAAACAAGCAATTATAAGCGTGGTGAGTGTTTTGAAGGAAAAAAATACAGGACTCTTTGGAAATGTAAACATATTGTAGAAAGCCAGTAAGATTTCCCTGAGAAAAAGGCTTTCAGAAAATAATTTCTCAACTCTTCTCTATTAGGTCTCACTTTCATTTTGATACATCCACTCTTTTTTTTTTCTTGTTTCTCTTCTGTCATTAAAAAAAAAAAAAAATCCTTACTCCTTTCCTTTGCCAGTCTTTTTCTATCTTCTGGTCATCTTTGTTTTGTTTTTGCTTTGGTACTAAAGGCAATAAATTATCTTCCATTCTTTTTAAAAAAATCTCTCTCCACTGCCCTTCTCCCTCAGCTTCCTTAGGACTCCCCTCATTCTAATAAAAAATACACTTAACCCCTTACAGTCTATCACATTTCTTTACCACCCACTCACCCCTCAGTCACTGACATCTGATTTCTGGTCATTCCACTCCACTGAAATGTTTTTCAAAATTTCCTCATAGACTTCTACTTACCTATAATGCAATTTGTTCGGTCCCCGCCTATCCCCAACTGGTGTGAAATTAATGACCGTATATTTACCACCTGTGATTTCTGAAGCTCTCTCTACTTCTGGCTGTTCATTCAGTACTCTTTCACCTCTTGTTCCCCAACCTTTCTGATTCTTCCTTCTCCAGCTACTCTCTCCATTCCCAGATGGTCACTGCTCTCTCTTCAGCCTCTCTGTTCCACACCCTGTCCCACCACTTCCCCTCTCATCAACATCCCGATAACCCCAGCCCACACCTTCACACTTGACCTCATGTTCGTCTCCACACTCACATTACCAATAACCAGTTCCACATTTCCACCTGCGTTGTCCTGCCAACACCTCAAAGCTAACCTTCCAAAACAGAATTCCTTATGGACTAATCCCAAATTTATCAGACTATGCTTCCTTTCTTGATGAAATAAGATGAGTAGGAGTCATCTTCCATTTCCCCCTTTCTCTCACCTCTTACATAGTCACTCTGAATAGTGCCAACTCTACATTCAAATATTTTTTTTTTCACATCGCCTCATTTCTATTCCCACACTACCTATGACCTCTATGACTTTCAGCACTTAATCTCTCTAAAATAAACATTATATTACTTACATTGCAGGAACATTCTAAAAATTAAATTATATATTATAATATATTATTGTATATAATATATAGCATAATGTATCAATATTGTATATAATATATAGTGTGATGTTATATATTAATATGATATTAATTAATATCATAATTATAATTAATTTATCGGTGTCTGGCATATAATATATTCTCAATAACTTAGGGGCCTCAGTTATTATAACTGTTTTCCTTGCCTAGAAGCTTTCATTTCCCTCATCTTTGCTAGTAAAGATATCTTCCATGAACATGGGTCAGATAGTACCTCCTCTCCCCCAAAATATTCACTAGCTTCACACGGTCTACTGAACAAGCCCCTAATTCCATAATACAGTTCAAAGTTCTTCTCTGATCTGTTTTCTGACAGTAATTTCTATCTTTCACTCTCCCACAGCAATTCAGGAGTCCCTCACTCCCAGGTACTGGGGACGGCTTGCTGCTCCTTAACATACTACACACCTTCACATCTTTTTATTTACATGGTTTTCATTGCCTAAGATACCTACTGGACAATGCTCTGCCTCAAAATTATCCACCTTTAAAGTTTGGTCTGAATGTCACCTTTTGCTTGAAAAGGTTTTATAGTTAAAATTAATGGTTCTTCCACATAGTTCCCAACATTTTGGAACTACATTTTTTTATAGCACTTTTTTCACTGTCCTGTAGAATTGGTCATTTTTTCCAAGTTTCCCTCTGACAGTAGACTGTCAAGTCCACAAGGATAAGAGTATACCCACAGCATCAGGAACCAGGCCTTGTTCCTGGTAATAGGTATTCAGTAGATATTGGCTGAATTTTAAAACATTTAAAAAGCTTGATAAAACTATAGGTAATGTGGCTGGGCACGGAGGCTCAAGCCTATAATCCCAGCACTTTGGGAGGCCATGGTGAGGGGATTACCTGAGCCCATGGGTGCAAGAACAGGCTGGGCAACTTGGCGAGACCTCACCTCTACATAAAAATTAAAAAAAAATTAGCCGGGTGTCGTAGGGTGTGCGTGTAGTTCCAGCTATTTGGAAGGCTGAGGCAGAAAGACTGCCTGCGTCCAGCAGGTCGAGGCTGGGGTGGCCATGAGCATGCCACTACACTGTAGCCTGTTCAACGGAGCAAGACTCCAACTCAAAAAAAAAAACAAAAAAAAAACTATAGTTAATGCTAAATTTTTTTAAAAATTCTGTTATAATGGCTTTGAAAGAAATTGGAGAAGACCAGTCAACTGGCCTTGATTGATCAAACCTGATTGATTTCACTCCATTCCTATAGGGTATTGAACAATGCAGTAAACTGAGTCATGTAGTAAAATTCCTAAAGAGTCTCTGTCTAAAACTATCTGCCCTTAATGATATATTACAATTTCTTTCCATTTATAAATCATTTATTCTCATATTTGTTTTGTTGCAAATCTCACAGATGACCTCTTCCCAGGTCATAACCTTAAACACTTTTTTGGACCAAGAGATACCATAAGGTGACCCAAGAGAATGACCATAAAAAGAAAGCATGAAGTGCAAAGGGAGCCTAATCATTACAATCAGTGTGGAGATGGATCAATTTACGGTGCTTTCTCTTAAATGTCTTATGCTTTGGTAGAAGTAACAGTAGTTATTATATAGCACCATCTTCGAAGGAATTTGCAAATGTGAATTACTGCTCACAACTAATTTTAAGATAAATAGGTCCCTTTATTTTTTTATTTATTTTTTGGTTGGAATCTTACCCTGTCACTAGGAGTGCAGTGGCACACTCTTTGCCACCCCAGCCTGGACCTTCTGGGCTCAGGTGATCCTTCCTCCTCAGCCTCCTGAGTAGCTGGAATTATAAGCATATGCTACCATGGCCAGCTAATTTTTCTTGATTTATTGTAGAGATGATTTATTGTTAGCCAGGCTGATCTCAAACCCTTGAACTCAGGCAATCCTCTCACCTCTGTGTCCCAAAGTGCTGGGATTATAGGCTTGAGCCACCACGCCCGGCCAGTCCCTTTATTTTTAAAGTTCAAGAATGTAGTGCTAAAATTAGCCATTAAAATGTGCATTTGAAGACCAACTTTGCTGAATAAAACCAACAAGGTTGGTGATGATGACTAGTATTAACTAAAAAGAGCCTGTGTTATGTACCTTCCAGCTATTATTTACTCCACATAACAATTCTTAAAAATTACTTCCTATGTTTAACCTAATTTTGTAGATAGGAAGGAAATGGAGATTAAGTAACTTGTCCAAGATTACATAGACAATAAGTGGCCCAAAGAGGATTTGAGTCATTAGCACTTAACCACCATGCTATGAAATGAAAATCATCAGATATTAAAATCCATTTTTTAAATCCATCAAACAAGAAAAACATAACACCAATTACTGTGAGTTAAAAGATTGTAAAATAAATGCTCTATAAACATTAGTTAAAGGTCATATCATCACATTTTGTGAATAGGAAAATTCTTCATGACACATGACTTTAGTATGTTAGGTAAGCTATAAATTTGAACCTATGCTTTTCATGAATTCTCACTGAAGTTTCTTTTCATAAATGTAATAGTGCCTTCACCTGGGCATATTTAGGTGCTAATGTCACATACTATTTAAACATATATGTATATTTTTAATATATTTAAAATTATATATATATATTTTCAAATTTCTTCCAGATATACCGAGACATTTAAAATATCTAATCATTGATACAAAATTGTAAAATAACCAGATTATTCAATCACATGTTGAAAATTAAAGTTTGTTAGGAAATTAAATCTTTTTTCTCACTGAAAAAAATGCTGCAGCTTTTCACAAAAAAGGCCAATTCATATTAACATATGTCTGTATAATACACCTATTAGACAAATGGTGGTGCAAAGAGAACTGCAGTGGAGGAAAGACCCTAAGGTGAGGCTGGGAACCAGTTCCCCCTTCTCTCTTTGCCCCCTAAAGCATATGCCAACGTATTCATATATGATAAATATCAAATTCTGCTTTAACATTTACAGTTATAAAACTGTAGAAGTGGCGTATCAATAAATCATCTAATCTGGCGATTCTAAACCTTTGGGAACCCATTGGACAGACTCCAAGGAGGGTGTGACAACCTACAATTGTAAGCACAGTCCTGGTGTATATGTGGAAAGTTCCACAGATAGATTAATCCTCGAAGGAGTCCACTACCCATGAATCCTTTCATAGGCTGCTGTGCTGCAATGGCATACTCGCTATTCAAACACTACTGTTGACGACTACCCTAAAAGGGGGCACAAGATATACTAGGCTAATATTCAAACGTATCCATTTACATCCTTTTTTTTTTTTGAGTTGGAGTCTCATTCTATCACCCTGGCTGGACCCTGGGCTCCAGCGATCCTTCTGCCTCAGCCTTACAAGTAGCCGGAACTACAGGCATAGGCTACCACACTCAGCTATTTTTTTTATTATTATTGTAGAGACGAGGTCTTGCCAGGTTGCCCAGGCTGGTCTCAAACCCCTGGACTCAGGCAATCCACTCGCCTCGGCCTCCCAAAGTGCTGGAATTACAGGCTGAGCCACCAAGTCCGGCCCATTTACATACTTAAATCTCACAGCATTACAAATCATTGCTTACTGTCAAGACAAGCTCTCTGATGTTTTTCACATAGAGTGTCACATAGTCCTTGATGTAGGTTGGCAGGTCACTAAAATTGATATTATACCAGTTCATCATCAGGGCTGCCTCATTTTCATTATTGCCACTCCATATGATAATAGAGGGATGAGATTTTAGTCTCTTAATCTGAAATTTAAGAAAACATAAAATAATTTCCAAATATTTAACATTAAAAACTCAGAGCTGTAGTTATTCATAAAATTATAGCCACTGCACTTCTGCACATACATTCTAACATGCCAAAAAGCTCATTTGAAAATGGTTAGTCATGTTAGCTGTGGGAATACACTTAAAGAAATCTCTGAGATTCTTTTTACCTAGATTTTATAAACACCAGTAGATAAGGTTGCTCTTCTCTGCTGTATAAAAACTGAAAAAATATCATCCTTTTTAAAAAGAAAGAAAGAAAAGGAAACCAATTTCTTCATTACCTGAATTCACTAGACTTGTGAATATAGAAAAATTTTTCCCACAGAAAGCTAAGCTCAAGCTAAGAGGGGCCAGAAGGGAACAAGGGAGGTGGCCTACAAAAACATTCCAAGAAACACAAAGGCAGGGCACGTCACATCACAGGGGCTGCAAGCTTGGGTTTTGTGTGAAGGAACAAAGGAGGCAGAGCAAACACTCTCATTGAAAGAAGGATTGACACTCCTATGCAATCTCCACCAATATCAAGAAACCAGAAGGAGAAGTGGAGAAGGTTTTACCAAGCAAGCGAGTACTAGAGGGATGCTGGACATTAAGAACAGACATGGTATACTCTAAAGGCAAACAGATCAGGGCAATCAGGATGATGTCTCCTGAAAAAACTTTCAATGTCACGTCCTAAGAAACCAACTAATGTTAAGTAAGTTACTGAATATATCTAAATAAAGAAGAGGCAAATTACAGAATCTATGTGAAAACCATACCAAGTTAGCATGGTTGGGCTCCCCTAGGCTAGCCTTAAATAACGGTAAAAGAAACCAGGTCTGTTGTGTTCTGGAAGGTCTCAAACATGTTCCTTCTATCTGACACACTGGGACGTGTGTTCCAGCAGAGTAGGGCAATTAAATTTCTTTCAGAATGACAGAGTGAGTCAGTAGTCAAAAGAAATTCTTTTGGAATATATTTTGGCAATATTGCTTCATTGGGATTTAGAGGTTCACTTTCACTGTACTAGATGATTACCGTGATGGTTCTTCATGGATGTTCCCAATCATTCTATCAGTTCAAAAAATCAGTCAAGCATGATAGCCCATACCTGTAATCCCAGTGCTTTGGGAAGCTGAGGCAGGCAGATTACTTGAGACCAGGAGTGCAAGACCAAGCTGGGCAGCGAGACTCTGACTCTATTAAAAAAAAAAAAAAATTTTTACTAACTGTGCAAGGTGGCAAATGCCTGTAACCCAACTACTCAGAAGGCTGAAGCAGTAGGCTTGCTTGCATCGAGGAGTTTGAGACTACAGTGAGCTATGGTCAGGCCTCTGCACTATAGCCTGGGCAACAGCAAGATACTGTCTCTAAAAACAAAAGGCTCAAAAACTCAGATACACGAAATGGAGATTCACTGGAAATTTATCTTTAATTTTTTATTTTTTTGAGTTGGAGTATCACTCTGTTGCCCAGGCTGGAGTGGAGTGGCACACTCATGGCCACCCCAGCATCGAACTGCTGGGCTCCAGTGATCCTTCTGCCTCAGGCTTCCAAATATTCTAAGTAGCCAGAACTATAGGCATGTGCTACCACACCTGGCTAATTTTTGATTAATTGTAGATACAAGGTCTCACCAAGTTGCCTGGGCTGGTCTCGAACCCGAGGACGTAGGCAATCCACTTGCCTCAGCATCCCAAATTGCTGGGATTACAGGCTGAGCCACTGAGCCTGGCCTGGGATTTGTTAAAGAAATGTTTCATAGAAAAAAAATTAAAAGTTTTGTGTTTTTCTAAGTCAGTCTTATAAACAGTATTTCTTTTTTTTTTTTTTTTGGTCTTTTTATATGTCTAGAAAAGTGAGGGCTGCTACCAGTTGTGACTGACATGTTTATGCTGTTGATGGAAATCCAAATCCAAATTCTGAAGCAGCAAAAAGCGGCAGTGACACTGTGCTACACACGCCCTTCACGCTGACTTAAGAGTTTTTTGGGGAAGCCCTACTTTAAAATTTTAACAAATTCTGCGTAAAATGTTTCTCCTTGTCTTCAATAATACATAAAAGAATTGAAGATATATAGATGCTATATTTTAATGAAAGAAAGTTAAAAATGAAATGCTTGCAACCTACATAACTATAATTAACATTTTAAAAGTTATTCATTCATCCATCCATCTATCCCCTCGACAAGTAATCCAGTCAAGGAGTGGAGACACAGAGGAGAATGAGAAAGGTCTCAGGGAGGTGACAATCTTGCAGGGGTGACAAAACAGTGGACAAGTAATTCAAAGTGTGATGTGTGTCACAAAGGACAAATGAAGGGTGACTTAATCTAGACTGGTGGATATAGAAAAGTTTTACCCACAAAAAGTTATGCTTAAATTAAGAGGGGCCAGAGGAGAATGAGGGAGATAGTCCACAGGGAAGGGGATGGTGAAGGTGTCCCAGAGCACAAAGAACATGACGGAGAGAAAGTGCTTGAAGAAGTGTAGGCCAAAGGATCCCACCTCATCCTGAGGGCAACAGGAAGCCTCTGGAGGGCTATTAGCAAGGGAAGGATTTAATTTGCACTTTTAAAATATTTCATTTTATAATGAAACAGATACAGAAAACAAACTATGACATGGGGAATTATTATAAGGCAATCACCCTTATAACCACCATCCAGATCAGCTGCCTTAAAAGCTTTCCATGCACCTCTTCCTAATCACAGCTCCTTCCTCCTCCCAAAACTAACCAGTATCTTGGGTTTTTGTTTTGGTTTTTTGGGTTTTTTTTTTTGAGCTGGAGTCTCACTCCATCGCCCAGGATGGAGGGGGCCATGGCACACTCACAGCCACTCCAGCATCGACCTGCTGGGCCCAGGCGATCCTCTTACCTCAGCCTTCCAAGTAGCCGGAACTAAAGGTGTGCACTACCACATCTGGCTAATTTTTTGATTTATTGTAGAGATGAGTTCTCGCCAAGTTGCCCTGACTGGTCTCGAACTGCAGGTTCAGGCAATCCATTCACCTCAGCCTCCCAAAGTGCTGGGTTTACAGGCTGAGCCACCAAGCCCGGCCCACTATCTTGAATCTTATAGAAATCACTTGCTTGCATTTCTTTATGGTTTTTCACACAAATATAAATCTGTAGACACTGTATTATGAACTCTAGATTTAACATACTTGATGGATTTTAATTCATTAACATTCTTAACCTTCTTAAATCTTAAAGTGTACCATTTTTGGTTGGTCAGAGTCTCTCAAAGTCTTTTTTGACTTATCTTTTATAGATTTCTTGTTATCTGCATGTCCAGATATTTCAGGACCAGCGTTCTGAGCAGGAGAGTGATGTGACTCAAAGTGTGTCAATGGAAAATGACTTTGATGGCTCTGTTGAGTATGTACTCATCTTGGAAGAGATCAATGCCAGGGAGGCCAATTAGAAAACAAATGCAATGGTTAAGGGGAGAGAAAATGAGAATTTGAATTAGTGTAGTGAATAAGGAAATGGGAAGATTAGTACAACTATAAGTAACACTGATATCAAACCATTGGCTGGACTTTATAACCAGCTGAATGTGGGAGGTGAGAAAGAAGGAAGTAGAAAGTTGAGTTTAAGATTTCTAGTCATAGTGAAAAATCTTGAAAGAAGGCACTGGGTGAAAAGTAGCGGATTTACTTTTAAGACTTTACATGACTTTGGGAGGCCAAGGTGAGGGGATTGCCTGAGTCCACGGGTTCGAGAAGAGCCTGGGCAACTTGGTGAGACCTCGTTTCTACAATAAATCAAAAAATTAGCCCAGCGTGGTAGTGCACGCTTGTGGTTCCAGCTGCTTGGAAGGTTGAAGCAGAAGGATCAGCGGAGTCCAGCAGGTCAGCCCTGGGGTGGCCATGAGCATGCCATTGCACTCCAGCCTAGGCGACGAAGTAAGATTCCAACTAAAAAACAAAAAAGAGAGACCTTACATGTATAATCCTATTTAATCTTCAAAAGATCTATGAGAAGGGCAAAATCATCTCAGTGTTTAGATAGATTGAGGCACAAAAGGTAACATACCCTGCCAAAAGTGGTAGACTCACCAAGAAGAAATAAAAATAGCCAAGCATGGTAGCACGCCTGTAGTTCTGGCTACTTGGAAGGCTGAGACAGAAGGATTGCCGGCGCTCAACAGATCAAAGCTGGAGTGGCCATAGACGTGCCACTGTGCTCCAGCCTGGGCAATGGAGTGAGATTCTAACTTAATAAATAAACTAATTAATTAATTAATTAAAATATTCGTCCTTTGTGTATCAGCATTGCAAAAAATCTAGCAGACAGTTGGACATGAGAAATTAAAATCAGAGCGCCAGTAATAATCCACATAGTGGCTTTACCTGAAGTTACCAAGAAAATGAATTTGTTCCCTTCTTTAACATACTGCAGAGCACCATAAAATCTACTCAATACATCTGTAAAGTCTTGTAAACTCTAGAAAGTAAGAATGATCCCCTGGCTCAGTGATCAGTTCCAATTGATGCTAATGACTCATTCCAATGTTTCAGTAGTATTTTGTTAACATATGATACATTCACAAGTTAGTTCCTAAACTATATTCTGGGAGTAATTCATGATACAGAATTTTCTTGTATTGCCAAGAATACAACTCTGATTCTACATGGGAATCCATGCCATACACTTAAGATCTGGGGGAGAGGAAATGTAACGCTATCTGTGCTTCAAAACACAATCACCCTCCACACAGGGCTCGCTGTGAAAATAAATACTTTCAGCACTTGGCTGATAAACCTCAGGTCTGTGGCTGAACTTATTAGTTGCTATTATAATAAACACTGTTATCATCATTTAAAAAAAAATGATATCCCAGGATCATCTAATATATTTCCTGTGCCAGACTTGGCATCAGTCATTTCTTTAAGAAGCTTCTCTCATAATGGGAAACATCATTTCAATATGAGGATACTCAATACTATTAGGTTGGCCATTGTTTCTAGGCCTTTTCAGTGGACAGAGATGGCATATAATCACTTCACTGAATTTATACATCCATGAATATAAGTATACTGTGAATACGTGGAATGCGAAAAAAAAAAAAAGGAATCAAGAATCAATTTAAATTTCTGTTCTGAGCAATTCAAGGAGTGGTATTGCTATTTGCCAAGGTGGGGAGAACTGCAGGAGAAGCAAGACTGGGGAGGTCATAGAAGTTTGGTTTGTACAAGTTACAACTGAGATGCCTGTTAAACCTCTGAGCAGAGGCACCAGGTAACCAGACGAATATAAGAAGGAGGAATTCAGCAGAAAAGTCAAGACTGGGATAAATCTGGAGTTGCCAGCCTCATGGGTGGTGGCAAAGCCGTGACTGGGTGGAATCACCTAGGGTGGCACTTACCCATGTTATATTTTTTTTCCTTAGTTCAGGGTGTCAATTACTTGACTATGTTTTTTTTTCTTAGTTCCCTCCTAACACCACCAGCTGAAATTATCTTACTCCTTTACTTCTTTCTCTAGTTCCTGCACTAGCAAATAAGCCCATGAGTGGGCGCCAACACTGCAAAATCCCCAGAGCCTAGAGTGCCTGATGCATGGTAGGTCCTCAAGAGATATTTCTTGAATAAGTGAATAAATTGGGTTGGGTCGTTTCATTTGGCCACGCAATAGCAACAGGTGACATTTATTAAACTCCCATGAGGAGCTGACATTGTTTGATTTAATCTCTACAATAACCCCTATGAGGCAGGTGTTATTTTTGTCATTTCAAATAGGAAAACGAATCACAGAGAGGTGAAGCCGTTTGTCCCAAGTCTCAAAGATAGAGCGGGCAGGGCCAGGATGTGAATTAGGTGCCAAAACACCCAAAAGTTTTTTTTGGGGGGGGGGGGACGAGGCCCTGGAGCAGATGCCACCGGCAGTTTCTGCCTCCCCATTCGCCCACCAATTGCAGCATCATGTGAATCAGGGAAGCCAGGACACGTGGCTTGAGTCCCACCCGAGCACCCACCGGGGAGTCTGATCAAATGGGTGCCGGCCTCACTTTCCCCATCTGGCCCCCATAGACGGCTACCTGCACCAGAGTCATGTACGGGAAGCCCAGCTCCCATAGCACCATGAGCACCCGTGGCAGCGACTCCTGGGAAGCCTCTGTCACGTGCTCCATGGCACACTCTCGCACACTCTTTATTCTTGAAGAAAAGTAACATACCTGGTAAGCAACTTCTCCTCTCACTGAATCCATGAAGCCGCTATCAGTTGGATAAAGAGCACAGGCAAACATAAAATCCTGCCATATCTAGTGAATCAAATAAAAGACAATAAGGCATTTCCATAAGCTTCAGTGCAGAAAGAAAGTCATTCTGAGCTCTGAGGATTGTTTTTTAAACATTTGAAAAATTAAGTTAGCTTGATGAGTGTGATCATTTCAACACCGCTATACATAAGGGTACTGAGGAAAGAGGCTCTCAGACCTCAGAACTTTCCAGAACTGCACAATACTGTATGGAAGGAAATCTGAGAAAAGAAAATATTAGGCAGGTATATATATATTTTTAAAAAGGGACGAGAGGAGAATTCAAAAAAGGAAAGAGTGAGTGTGCTGAGGTGAAACAAAATGACGCTTCCCCCCCAGCCCCTCCTCACTCCTAATTTATTCCAGTTTTCACCAGACACTTGGTGTTGAAAGATGTACCACATTGTTAAGAATCATACTTCATTTATATTGTAATTCACTTTTCAAGGCCAAACAGATTACTACATGTACAATTTAGTAATGAACCCATGTAAATCCCTCCCTAAGTAAGGTGTGTCATGCAATAATTAACACCACAGCCCCTGAAACAGCCTGAGTAAGAATCTTGATTCCACCACACGCAAACTGTGTGAGTTTGGGCAAAATATTTAACTTGCCCATGTGTCAGTTTCCTTATCTGTAATTGGGGATAGAAAACAATGGTAACTACCTCATTAGATAGGCACGAAGAGAAAATAAAATGATATGTGCAGAGCCTTTAGAACAATGCCGACACTCAATGAATATTATAGAATATTGTCAGCCAGGTGCCGTAGCTCATGCCTATAATCCCAGCACTTTGGGAGACTGAGGTGGGAGGATGGCTTGAGCCCATGAGTTCGAGACCAGCCTGGGCAAGTACCTCGTCCCTACAAAAAATAAAAAAATTAGCCAGGTGTGGTAGCGTGTGTCTGCAGTCCCGGCTATTCAGAAGGCTGAGGTGGAAAGAACACCTGAGTCCAAGGTCAAGGCTGCAGTGAGCTGTGATCATGCTGCTGTACTTTAGCCTGGGTGACAGAGTGAGACCCTGACTCAAAAAAAATAATTATCATTATTATCATGATCATCAGTGTAATCATTGTTATTTTAATTCCTACTCCTATTTTACAACTGTATTATTAGAACAGAATATATTTCCTTTGTTTAATTGTCACCATTGCAAAACATGTTCAAAGTATTTAATAACAATAGTAGCCGGGCTCAGTGGCTCAGCCTGTAATCCCACGCCTTTGGGAGGCTGAGGTGAGTGTTTTGCCTGAGCCCACGGGTTCGAGACCCGCCTGGGCAGGCGAGACCTCATCTTGACAATCAATCAAAAAATTAGCCAGGCGTGGTAGTGCGCACCTGTAATTCCGGCTACTCGGAAGGCTGAGGCGGAAGGATCGCCGGAGCCCAGCAGGTCGAGGCTGCGGTGGCTGGGAGCAGCCACTGCACTCCAGTCTGGGCAACAGAGTGAGACTCCAACTCAAAAAAAAAAAACCAAAACAAAAACAATAGTAAGTACATCTTTTCTTTACTAATTTTATTATTTTTCTTCTCTCCATGTTTTATCAGAGTGCCTTCAAGTTGAATTTTTAAAATATTTAGTTTTCTTTTTTTGTGCATACCTACATATGACAAAGAAAATTACAAAGTTCTGGGCTGGGTGTGGTGGCTCACACCTGTAATTCCAGCACTTTGGGAGGCCGAGGCAAGAGGATTGCCTGAGCCCAGGGGCTTGAGATCAGCCTGGGCAACCTGTCAAAAATCTCATTTCTACAGTAAATCAAAAAATTAGGTGGGCATGGTAGTGCACACCTGTGGTTTCAGGTACTTGGAAGGCTGAGGCAGAAGGATTGCCTGAGTTCCGTAGGTGGAGGCTGTTGTGGCCATGAGCATGCCACTGCACTTCAGCCTGGGTAACAGGGTGGGACACTGACAGGAAGGAAGGAAGGAAGGAAGGAAGGAAGGAAGGAAGGAAGGAAGGAAGGAAGGAAGGAAGGAAGGAAGGAAGGAAGGAAGGAAGGAAGATGTTGGGAGATACAAACTTAGATATAACCAATATATAGAATGCCTATCATTTTAAAATAATTCTGATAGTTGCCATCATCTCTGGCTCTGGGTTTACAAGATGCTGTTTATTCCTTTATCAGAAAACGGAACATCATTCCTGGCTCTGAGAAATAAGGAGCAATATCATTCATTCAGAACACTGTGGGTCAAGCTTATAATATAGTAACTTAACAATATGCAAAATGCTATCAACTACTCACCATTATTCCTAGTTTGTCACAGAGGTCATAGAACTCATCTTGCTCATAAATTCCTCCTCCCCAAACCCGGAGAGTATTCATGTTAGCATCCACAACAGACTGTAAGAGGAGTTGTAGCCTATAGACAAAATTTTATAAAGAAATGCTGATTTGGAAATTTTGGAATTTTTTTAAAAAAGACTTAAAAAGCAGTATGTGGTAGATAAGCACGTTTCAAGTCACTGTTAGAAAAACACTTTAAAATCATGATGATGGCCGGGCTTGGTGGCTTAGTCTCTAGTCCCAGCACTTTGGGAGGCTGAAGTGAGTGGATTGCCTGAGCCCATGTATTCAAGACCAGCCTGGGCAACTTGGTGAGACCTAGTCTCTACAATAAATCAAAAATTAGCCAGGCGTGGTAGTGCACACCTGTAGTTTCGGCTACTTGAAAGACTGAGGCAGAAGGATCGCTAGAGCCCAGCAGGTCAATGCTGGGGTGGCCTTGAGTGTGCCACTGTACTCCATCCTGGGCAACAGAGTGAGAGTCCAACTCAAAGAAAAAAAATCATGACGATTTAGATATAATTCCAATTAAATAAAATGAGATAAAGTTATATACACATTAATTGTAACCACATAAAACAAATGGAAAAAATATGAGTGATATCTTTTTTTTTGCTTTCTAAACTTTCAGTAATGCTATTATGCTATTTTTAAAATTGAATTTTGTTTTATGTATATTCCAATAGAAGAATACAGTTGTAAGCCTTGGAAAGTATGTGCTAATTTCACGTAACTATTTCAAACTATTAAACAAAATCAAAGTTTGAATATTAGTGCCTAGCTCACCCCAATTTCTCCAGTGCCGTACTTTTTTCTCTAGTAAATTTCCTTTCTACTTTTTCCACTTCCTATTCACATTAGCCTCAGGACAATCTAGAAAGTTATAGTCAGTTTGAAAGCACGTACTCACGCTCCTTCCCCAGAACAATGCCCAGGAGTAAATTAGGAAGCCAAATAACAGGCTGCTCAGGGACTGAGAGCACTGTGGGCTCAGGAGAGAGGCACCAGGGCAGGGTTACTATGTGGCCTACACGGACTGAACAGCTGCAGCCAGCCCACACGGGAAGGGGAGAGGAGCATGAGAAATGAAAAAAAATAGAGCAAATCATCCTGTGTTTGTATCTGGAGAAAAATTTCATTTTCTTATAAAATCTAAAATAATATACACATTTTAAAATTAAAGAGAATTAATATAACTTTTGGCAAAATTAGAGGTTAGATACTGACCACATTTACATTCTAAACATCAAATAATATATGACAATTTATACATTTGTAAATAAGCTAAAATGTTAAATGATAAATTACAATGTGTTTATTTTCACTTTATAAATTTTATTTTTACTAGCACAAAGATAGACATTTATACACCCAATTAGAAAATATTATTTTCATCTAAAGTTCTATTCTCAAAACCTCAAAAAACACATTTAATTTTTTTCCAGATCTAACATTTTTTGAGATTTTGTTTCTAAATAAAATTTACCATGTATATTTAAGTATATGACATGCTGTTATGGGATACATAGAGATAGGAAATTGGTTCACTATAGTGAGCCAAATTAACATATTCATCTCACATAGTTGCTCTTTTTTGTATGACAAGAGCGCTAAAATCTGCCTGTCTTGTGTGAATTCCATACATAGAACAATTTTTCCTTATAATCCTCATGCTGTATATTCCATCTCTAAACTTGTTCTTACTACATATCTGCTACTTTGTATCCTCTGATCCTCCCTGTTTCCTTCCTCTCATAGACAAGTTTTTTTTTTTAGTTATTTTGTTAAGATAAAAGTAAAAAAATATGCAAATCCTAACAGAAAATCTTTTAAAACCATGCTCAAAAATATGTAAGGTATTCTTTTAAAAATGGAAAAAATTGCATTTAATAATCTTTTATTTTTCATGGACTAGATATCCAAAATGTGAGTTAGTCACTTTCTTCTTTCTCCAGCATAAATATATAATAGTTTTCTAAAACTTGAATGGCTTCAACAGTCTTAAATAGCTTAGCTGTGAGATCATCTATAGCCCAGGAGAATGGAATATATGATTTTAAAATCCTGTCTATTCTATACTTTCCATCATCTAGAATTCTATATAATGTCAGTCCTCTGGGACTAAAGAAAGCAAAAATGAATACATCTTAAGCTTTGTGGGCTAATTTTAAAAGGAACAGGAAAAGAAAGACAGTAACTTACAAGTCAGAGGTTACTCGGTCCTGAAACACATCTGCTGGGATCCAGTTAGAGCCTTTCAGGAATATGGGCAATCCATTAATTTTGAAGTAGAAACTCAGACCAGGAGATCCTTTTATGGGTTCTTGTATAAGTTCCACTGTCCTAAAATAAACCTGTAATGAACAGCATTAAATACTGAATATCAGATTAAAAACAAGCAAAATGGATTTTTTAAGAAAAGGAAGCAGCCTTTTGGAAAAACTTACATTCACCAGAGTTTAACGCTAATTTTCATATATACTATGAAGCACTTAATGTGGAAATGCACACTTCAGAAAGTATATATATACAAATTAATGCTAACATCTGTTTTTAATCTTTTGAAAGAAAAACACAGAAGCCATTAAAGAGTAAAATATATTGTCCTCTTCATGAATTAGGCATTTGTAATTACATCAAAAGAAAAAATAAATTTGAATATAGTATTTCAAAATTAAAACAAAAACTGATGCTATTTCATCAGAATAGGAAAAAAAAAAACCCATCAGTTAAACTGAAACATCTTTGAAAAACACATTCTCATTTCAGTGTTGTTAAAATGTGCCAAAATGTGCACTTTATAATCAAAGAAATATAGCACAAGACATGTTATAGTTTCACATCTTTTCAATCTTAATAGCACATTACTATAAAATCACTTTGTTTAATGGGTAATTTAACCTCAACCAATTATCACATCAAATTCAACGTTTGAGAGTGCTCTGGTTTGTCGCCTGGAGATGTCCAAACTGTACTAATGAACGAAGATGGCGGGGAGTGTTGGAAAGCCCACCCTCCAGTGCTGTCCGTGCTCCGTAAGAGGAAGTACAGGCTCTGTCCAAGACACCCTAGCCAGGTTTCCCCACAGTGAAGCATGGGCAGCATGACCCTGGGCAGAGAAGCTCTGACTTTCTTCTCCCTATCTCATATTCTTGCCAGCCATAAACTGAATCAAGGAATAAGTGACACAATTCTACACCAATGAAGCCTAACTTTCAACCAAAATCACATACTTCTTATTTAATTAAAAAAAAAAAAATCAATAAAGGCCAGGCTTGATGGCTCAGCCTGTATTCCCAGCACTTTGGGAGGCAGTGGTGAGTGGATTGCCTGAGCCTGCAGGTTAGAGACCTGCCTGGACAACTTGGTGGGACCCCATCTCTACAATAAATCAAAAATTAGCCGGGCGTGGTAGTGCGCGCCTGTAATTCCAGCTACTCGGAAGGCTGAGGCGGAAGGATTGCCAGAGCCCAGCAGGCGGAGGCTGTAGTGACTGGGAGCGGCTACTGCACTCCAGTCTGGGCGACAGTGAGACTCCAACTCAAAAAAAAAAAATCAGTAAGTGAATTAGTCAAATTATTTCATGTGATAAAAATACTCATCATTCTTCTACTTTCTGATCCTTGACCTTATTTATATGACATGACAAACAATATCAGAATTAACTGTATCTTGTGTGTCTTGGAGAAGACAGAATATGACCAGGATGAGAAGAATCTTGACATAGGAATACCACCCTTGCTTTAGTGTTGCAAAATGTGCAGAATGCATAGTGATTTTCAGAGGGAAATTTTAAAACACCTTGCTGGTGGGTTCAAACATCCAGAACAGTGAGTGCTTCTGAGTGTGGCCTGGAAACCACAGGAAAAGTTTTCAGGGTGTCCTTGTGTTCAAAGCTATTATCATAATAAAGTTAAAATATTATTTCCCTTTATACCTCTCACTCTCTAAATGTCAGTGGAATTTTCTAGGACTAAATGATGTGTGATGACTTCAACACTCTGTTGGCTAATGGGATGTGTGCTGTGTATTCTGGTGTGGTTCGTTCTGAAGTAGAGGTCTGGGGTATGAAGCAGTGTATCTTCAGAGATTACCTCAGTTTGCTCTCAGTACTTTTACTGTGCCCTTACTAGCTGTCTTTAGCTATTCCTGCTGTAATCTCTGTAGGTCACTGTTATTCAATAAATTCTTATTTTGAACCCCAAAGTTTCCCTTGCAATCTACACAGAAACACAAAAAAGACTACATACTGTTTGTTAATTTGTCTAAGTAATATCTTTACATTTTCAAACAGAAACAAATTTTAATTAATACTGCTTTAGGATTTAATACTATTTTGTCTCATTCTAAAGAATTTAGAAAATTTTAAATTTTTAAATTTAAATAAGAAAATGTATCTATAATACACATATTTCTAATTTAAAGATGAGTTGTTAAAATAGGATTAGAAGGCTTACATTCTCAACCTACATCTGTGGCTTTCTACATCTAAAAATGATGAAAAAATGAAAGTAACATACCAAAAAATCTTTTGGTTCATGGAAGGGAAGAATCTACTCCTAAGAAACTGATTGAAATTATAAATAAGAAATGAAATTATAATGAAAGCTGTCTTTCTTTCAGCTGTAAAGATGTTAATAATTTACCTTGTGTTTTACGGAATGAAATATTTTAAAGTGATATTTATGGTGCCAGTTCAGTCACAGTGTCCCACTGAAGCCAATCATTCGCAGTATAAAGAAAAAGAAATTGAATATTTAAACTTAGGCAAACATTGTTTATTACATCTTTTCAAACCAGAAATGAAGAAGCCACTTACAGGGTTAGTGAGTTATGCAGCACTGGTTGGAGATGTACACATACTAGCTAAGAGAGAGAGTTATGCTGTTGACACTGCAGCACCCTACAGGATGAAAAGTCAGTAAGAGAAATCACAGCACTGACACTTTGCAATGACACAGTAACTGATTAAGCTGCCATATGAAGACTGACTTGACATCTTATCTGAAAAATCATACTTTTGCTTTACAAATGGGTGGATCTCCAGATATTGCTGGACTTGCTGTTTTGCATGTATTTTTCTGTTATCAGTACAATCAAAGAAAATCTTTTTTTTTTTTTTTTTTCGGGGTTGCCTAGGCTGGAGTGCAGCATAATCACCGCTCACTGCAGCCTTGATTTCCTGGGCTCAGGCGATCCTCCCTCCTCAGCCTCCTGAATAGCTGGGACTTGCAGATTTGTGCCACCATACCTGGCTCAATTTTGATTTCTTGTAGAGACAGGGTCTCATTATGTTGCCCAGGTAGATCTTGAACTCCCAGGCTCAAGAAATTTTCCCACCTTGGCCTCCCAAAGTGCTGGAATTACAGGTGTGAGCCACTGCATCCAGCCCATCAAAGAAGATCTTTTATGTGAATTTTTGGCAACAAAATACAAAAGGTGCTGAAATATTCAAAGTACTGAATAATTTTTTGAATCTTAAAGTTATCCTAATACTACTACTTTAACATTTGCACTGATGTCACAAACGCAGTGGTGGGTGTCCTAGCAGGAATCAAGGAAGTAACTCCAGACAATGCTGGTAGCCATTATATCTTTCACCTTCATGCATTTGCAGAAAAAAAAGCCAGTTTCACTTAAGAATGTCATTGATGAAATAGTAAATGTTATTTATTTTATCACATCTTAACCCTGAGTACTTAATATTCTGTGTGATGACATGGGCAATACTCATAAAGCACCATTCACGATGGAGATCTTGAGAAAAAGCCTGTGGGCCATTATTAGAGTTGTTAGCTGAATTAGCCATCTTGTCGTGAAACTCCATTTTCACTTGGTAGAAAGACTGATAGACTAACTATGTTTTTCAGACTTGGATACCTGATTTTTTTTTTTTTTTAAATGAATGAAGTAGGCCGGGTGAGATGGCTCACACCTATAATCTCAGCACTTTGGGAGACTGAAGTGAGAGGACTGCCTTGAGCCAACAGGTTCAAGACCAGTCTGGGCAATTTGGTGAGACCTCATCTCTACAATAAATCAAAAAATTAGCCAGGCATGATTGTGCATGTCTGTAATTCCAGTTACTTGGAAGGCTGAGGCAGAGGAATTACCAAAGTCCATCAGATTGAGGCTGTGGTGACCATGAGCACTTCAGCCTGGGCGACAGAGTGAGACTCCAACTTAAAAAAAAAAAAAGAATGAAGTGAGCCTATCACATCAAGGAAAATGGCTGACAGCATTTGTAGCCAAGAATAAAATTCAAACTTTCAAGTAAAAATTAGGACTTGGAAAAGCTTGTATCCACTGCCATAAGCTTGAGAGCTTCCCAATACTTAAAAACTTTTCAGATGACATCAGTGGTGATATCTACACATGTGGATGCAATATTGTAGAATGAAGCATATCAACATTTGGAAGATCTGTAACTCTCAGGAAATCAACATTTTTCAATAACCAGTGCATTATATTATAATATCACAAATGCGTAAAGGATTCTTGGCAGTGCAAGACAGATTGATGGATTTTAATGTAACAGAAACATAAAAAGTTCATTGAAATGGCTCAAGTTGCAACTAACCTTTAAGAAACTACCACTTAAGTTTTTGTGTAGTATCAAAGAATATCCAGAATTATCTGAAAAGATGATTATTATTCCCTTTTCCAATTATACATCTGTGTTAAGTTAGATTTTCTTAATATGTCTCAACCAAAAAAATATTGAAAATTGAATACAGATACAGGTGAGAATCCAGTTGTCTTCTATTAAGCAAGACATTAAAAATATTTGTAAACATGTAAGACAATGTCATTATTCCCATCAAATTTTTCATTTTGTCAATATATGTGTTTTTCATAAAATAAGTAATACATACTAACATGTTATGGGCTTATTGTGTAATAATAGTATTATTTAATAACAATAAGCCCATGATTTAAAATGAATACATATTTAATTTTGTTTTAGTATTTAATATGGTAAATATCAATAAATAAAACCCACGTAAACAAAAAAAACATTGGGGTTCTCAATTTCTGTGAGTGTAAACAGGTTCTGCTTTCAAAAAAAATGTGAGAATCACTAATGTAGAAAATATAACTCATTGATTTCTTAATATCTATTAATGCTATAAATAGTATTAACTATAAAATGCAATACCTTCTAACATGTATTTTCCTATTCTGTGCAAATTTTCTTGGCTAAGAGCAGAGGCTGATGCCTGTAATTCCAGCACTTGGGAAGCCTGAGGCAGGAGGATCGCTTGAGGCCAGGTGTTCGAGACCAGCCTAGGCAACCTAGCAAGAACCCCATCTTTACAAAAAAACTAAAGATTAGCCAGGCTCCGTGGTGCAC